CAGCGAGGATCACTCCCACCCCCTCAGTACATAGGGTTGACAGGGATTGGCAACTTAGACATTGGCTACTCAAAATGGGAGGGCTACAAAGGCACAAATTGACTAGTTTACATGCTTTCAAGAGGGAGCTTAGTTCAAGAAAGTAGAATCTCCACTGAGTTGTTTCCATTCTGTCTGGATGGGGATGATGAAAGGAGATGGGGTTAAGACTCTTGTGGTACAATAGTGAATTCTTGCTCTAGGGGCTGATTGTGAGGGTTTGAAATGTAAAAGGTAGAAGTTTTGTAACAAAAGGAGGGGAGTAGTTGATTTTGCAGTCTAGGAGCAGTGGTCCCTGGGACCATCAAAGGAGAATAGAAGAGTGGGGGACCCTAACCAGAGAGGCAGTGACGCCTGAGATGGAGGCAGAGATGATGATGTGGAAAGATGTAGCGTCTGGGGACACTGGAATCAGGGTGGGAGAAAGGCTGTGTGTTGGCGGCCAGGGGGCAGCCTTGCGGGGTGTACTCTTTGGTTGTTTGATGATGCATGGAAGGGATTGTCATCATTACAATGAAACGAAATACGATAGGATGAATGTAAACTAATGTTCTCCCATTTAAACTATTACATAATTTACAATGAAAACTTTAAAAAACCCAAAATGATGCATTGATAATTACTGGCAATTGGAATGCAAATGTTAGGAAAAAAAGAGGAAGAATCAGTATTTGGAAAATATGGCTTTGGTGATAAAATTATGCTGGAGATCACATTATAGAATTTGCATGACCAATGACTTCTTCATTAAAAATACCTTTTTTAAACAACACAAAAGACAGTTGTATACATAGACCTCACCAGATATAATACATAGTAATCAAATTCACTATATCTGTGGAAAAGCTCCATATCATCAGTTCAAACAAGTCTAAGGCAGTCTGTGGAACAGATCGTGAATTGCTCCTGTATAAGTTCAGGTTGAAGTTGAAGAAAATTAAAACATTTCCATGAGAGGGGGCACTCTATTAGTAGCTGAAGGTGACTTGGGGCTAACATCTAGATAGCATCTAGAGGGTCTCAATTGGTGGAATCAGGTGAACCTGGATGAGAGTGTTCCTCAGGGGAAAGCTGTTGAAGGCCATCTGAATGAGGCCGTGAGGACACTTCCACACCTTTTAACTTTTGTGGGTGAGAAAGATTGGGCTGTGGGATACTCTGAGAGTGATTTAGACTAGGTTGAATATTTCAGTGTGACTCCAGGAGTCGTCAATGTCTCTAGAGCAGACACTCTCTGCCCAGAGTCTTTGGACCTGTCATTGAATGAGTACCCTGAAATACCAGTGATAAGGGTGGAAATTTAGTACAAAGATAGAAGCTGATTCAGGTCCAGTCAGGATCCTGGCGGCTCCAACCAACATGCATCATTGCCAACTATTCACAGGCGTTTGGAGACAAACAGGTCTTCTTCCAAGAAGTCAGCTAAGAAAATACAAAATGTAGTGAACAGGAGGAGAAGGTGCAGACCATTTATAGGTGGCAGCACCAGGAAAATAAATCGCTAGGTGGCAGCACCCCAAAATTTGTCCTAGGGAGAAAATCCCAGGCTTGTCTATTTGAAGTTCCCCCACAAGGACCAGCCACTTTCCCCCCAATTTCTGGACTTCCAATGCTTGGAAGGCCAGAAAGATATTCCTGGGGCCCTTCAGGATTCAAACTAACCAAGCCAAACACTGGGAAGAAAGCTGTGATGAGCAAGACAAGGGAGTCTGAGCTGGTGGTCAAGGAAGACAATGCCTCAAATAGAGAGCCAGTCTCAAAGAGCCACTTTATACAAAGCAAGCCAGAGACATCTTGCCTGTTTGTGTATCATGAAGAGAACGGAAAGTTCCATGATACGGGCCTCAAGATGAGAGGACCCTAAATTTCAGAAAACTCACAGCCGTTGGCCATGGCCCAAGGAGGAGCCAAGCCTCATTTTCTCATTTTCCAGTGATCAGGAGCCACTTTCTAATGCCTCCAGAGAAGAAAAGAACCAGCAATAGCCTGTAGCACAGGACTGCCCTCAATGTCCTCTGCTGCAGAAGGAAATAGATGACCTGAAGGATCAACTTGCTGTCATGCAATGGTCCATCACTAAACTGTACATCATTTGGAGTTGAACACAGTTTCTTTGTATTCATGAGCAGCCAGAAGCTGTAGCCACCTGGGTTCCTGCCTGTCCTCCCCTAACCCCCTCACATGCCTCTTCTGAGGTTCTGCCATGCTGCTTCTTCCTCGTGGCTCAGCACAGCTTTTATTCCCACATTCTCTGTAGTTTCAATATAAAGTATTCTTGAAACAAACAAACAAACAAAAAACCTTGCCGTGAGATACAAAATATGACCTTGTTCATATCCCACCTGAACTGGAAATAGTTTCAGTTTTAATGCATTAGGCACTAATGACCAAATACCAGGAGAGTTTTAGGATTACATCAGGAACATTATAGAGGAAGAATGCAAAAGGACATTTAGACCAAAAGGAAAAAGTAAAAGACCAAAATGGGCATCAGAAGAAAATCTGAAATTTGATTGCCAGCATAGAGATGTTAAAGCAAGTGGAACAAATGAGGAGGTAATAAAGATGAACAAGAAGTTTCAAAGGGCAGATTGAGAAAACAAAGTTAAATATTATATGTAATGTGAATAGATCTGGAGTTAGAATACCTAACAACAAGAACATGCTCAACACTTCTCAAGCTGAAAGAGCTGAAGAAAAAAATTCAAACCTCAACTTTCAATAGTAAAGGATTCTATTGGCAAAAATATTGAATGATGCAGAAATCACCAAAAGAAGATAGAAGTAATGTACAGTCACTGCACCAAAAGAAATGAATGATGTTCAACCATTTCTAGAGGTAGCATATGATCAAGAATCAATGATACTGAAGGAAGAAGTTCAATGTGTGCTGAAATAATGGCCAAGAACAAAACTCCTGGAATTATAGGAGACAAATTGAAATCTTTCAATATATTGATGTAGCACTGGAGGCACTCACTCATCTATTGCAAGATTGGAAGAGATCTATATTTATGCCCATTCCAAGAATAGGTGATCAAATGGAATACAGAAATCATTGGACAATATTATTAATATCACATGCAATTAAATTTTTTTTTCAAAATATAATTTAAAAATGGCTTCAACTGTACACTGACAGGTAACTACTAAAAGTTCAAGCCAGATTCAGATGAGGACCTGGAATGAGGGCTATCACTGTTGACACTAGATGGATCTTCAATAAAATCAGAGGATACAAGAAAGATGTTTACCTGTGTTTTATTGACTATGCAAAGACTTTCAACAGTGTGAATCTGACAAACTATGGGCAATGTTGCGGAGAATGAGTATTCTGGAACACTAGATTGTACCCAAGTGGAACTTACACATAGAACAGGAGGTAATAATTTGACCAAAACAGGGGGGAGGGGCACTAAATGGTTTAAAATTAGAAAAGGTGTGTGCCAAGGTTGTATTCTTAGACTATACTTATTCAATCTATATGCTGAGTTAATATTCTGAAAAACTGGATTATATGAAGAGTGTGGCATTAGGATTGGAAGCAGATCATTAATCACTTTCAATATACTTGCTTGCTGAAAGTGAAGAGGACTTAAAATACTTACTGATAAAGATCAAAGACCACAGTCTTCTATACAGCTTGTTCCTTAATGTAAAGAAAACAAAAATCCTCATTACTTGACTATTGAATTTAACATTGGGATAAATGGAGAAATAATTGAAGTTGTAAAGGACTTCATTTTGCTTGGATTCTTTGTTAACACTCATGGAAGCATAGGTCAAGAAATCTAATGACTAATTGTGTTAGGAAAATATGTTGCAGAAGACCTCTTTAAAATGTTCAATAACAAATATTTTAGTTTGAAGAGTAAGGCATGATTGACCCAAGCCATGGTATTTGTAATAGCTTCATGTGTATTTTAAAGTTGTACAGTGAATTAGGAAGACCAACTGTAGAAGTATTCATGTATTTGAGTTATCATTTTGGAGAAAATTATATGTACCATGGACTGCCAGAAGAAACAAATTTGTGTTGCAAGAAGTACAACTAGAAAATTTCTTAGAAGCCAAGATGACCAGACTTCATATCTCATATTTAGGGCATATTATCAGAGGGACCAGTCTGAGGAGAGGACATCATGCTTGATAAAGTGGAGGGTCACTGAAAAAGAGGGAGACTTCCAACAAGATGGACTGGACAGAAGCAATGGTCTCAAGTGTAACAACGAATGTGAATTTGGCACAGGATCAGGCAGTGTTTTGTTCTGTAGAACATTGGGTTGCTATGGGTCAGAAATGACTCAATGGCATCTAACAAAAACAGCAATCTTTTTATTTACAAACGTTTTTCTTGTGTTTACTTCTCTTTCACTTTCTTCAGTAGATAGCATTTCAGTTGTTTTCTCACATTGACAATTTATTTCGAAAACATGGTATAAACCACATGTTTATCCTTTTGTAGGTGATTTTCTTTATCCTCGCAGATGCTGTCTCATGTTTCTACTCTTTTGTGTATGAGTAAATTGCCAAGGATGGGACACAGAAATAAGTGTCCTATATATTTTTTCTGTATTTCTAAAATCAGCATCTTGAAATTTTCTTTAGTTTTAGAAAATTTCTATTGTGCTTGAAGAATTTTCCACTTCAGAGCCACTTTGATTGTTTCATTCTTCATATATATTGAATTTTCTCTTAGATGTTTAATATATTTTTATCTTTTTCCTCAGAATTCACTGTGATTATTGTAAGTCTGCGATTATTTAAGTCAGATTAATTTTCTATTGCATCATCTTTTATTTTGTCTGTAATTAATCTCATTTTTTATCTGAATATGTTTCTTTGAGTGTGTTATTTCACTTTTTATTACATTTAACTGCTTTATTATGTTATTTTTATCTTTTATTCTATGAAATTCATGTTCCAGTTATCCCAATTCAAAGTACATGTTGGGGTAGTTCCTTTACATCTGTGTGCTTCAATGAAGCCACATTTTTGCCTGTTTCGTGTGTTTTTTATTTTTACTCCCATTGTCAGGAATGGTTTCAGAGTTGTCATTCCATTCTTTTAAGTAGTACCTATACTTCATATTTTGACACTATATCTACATTTCTCAGAAGGATCCTCACAAAGAATTATTACACAATAATAAAAATCTTTATTAAACAAAAATATCAAAATGTGAAGCTAAGTTTCTTGACAGATCCAACTTCTAATTATGTACACTTCTGAAGATAGTATTACTATCTCTCTCTAATTTGTACCCACATGTCTGTCAGCCTGTCCTAATGTTGTGGCTTGTGAAGTGATACTGGAAGACATGCTTTGGTGTTTCAAATACCACCAAGATCACTCATGGAGGACAGTTTTCAGCAGAGCTTCCACAACAATAATAGACTAGGAAGAAGGACTAAGCAGTCCACTTCTGAGGGATTGACTCCTGAGAAGCTTATGAATATCAAGGGAGCTTTTTCTGATATACTGTGGGAATATGAGACACTCAGGCTGAAGAGTGCACTAATACAACTGAGTAGCAGCTTCATCCTCAAAGTATAGTTAACCTTAATAGATGCTGCAAAATTTTCAGGACATTCATTTGCCTATGGAGAACTAATAAAGATAGAAGAAACAATGTAAACATCTATTAATAATCAGAATGTGTAATGTAAAAAGTATGAATCTAAGAAAATTGGAAGTAGACAATTAAAAAATAGAACACATGAAGATAGAGATCCTAGGCATTAGTGAGTCAAAATGGACAGGTATTGACTATTTTGAATAGATCAGTCATGTGCTTTTCTATATAAGGAATGAAAAATCAAAGAAGAAAGATATCACATTCATCATCAAAATGAACATTTCAAGATCTATCTTGAAATACAATGCTGTCTGTGATAGGATAATATCTATATACCTACAAGAAAGACTGGAGTCTGAGTGTGGCACTGGCAGATAAGCACTGAATTGTTAACTGTATATTCCATGGCTCATACCCACCAGCCACTCCTTAGTGCTGTAAATTACTACTTTTGAATGCGCTGAAGGCAACCTGTTTGTACCACCCAGAGGTTATTTTTTGAAGTTGTTGTTAAGTTCCCTGTTGAGTTCCAACTCATATAAGAGCAGCTGGTGGGTTTGAACTGCTGACTCTGTGGTTAGCAATCCAGTGCTTATCCAACAGCACCATACTAGGACAACTTTTGTAATATAGGCTACCCAAAAATTAGATAAATGACTTGTACTCATAGCTTCAACAAAGCTATATTGCATTCATTAAGTGATTAAAATGCTTTCTTGAGTTTTGTTGAAAGTGTTTACTGTAATGTAGTGACCATAACCATTCCAGAGAATTAACTGCTTGCTTTTGAAGTATAATTAAACAGAGATAGATAGTTTCATTATGTGTCTTTGAATTTGCTTAGGAGACATACTACCATAATGTTCTAATATTTATTATCATTTTTTAATTATGAGAGGAATTTAATAAATCATAAAATATCAGTTTCAAATATTGGATCTGTTTACTGATGGTAAGCTTTTATAAATCATTATTGTTGAGTGTCTGTTATATGTATGACACAGAAATACAAAACACTACCAAACAAATGTAAGAAGGTTTCTACCTACAGGGAATTAAATATTAACGGAAAGCTCTAGTCATATGAAACTGGAAAAAATGGGTGACTAAAAGAAGCTTCAAGATATGGCAGCTATTGTTCTTCTCCTTCTCCATTCCTTGTCTTCTGGATTTCAGATGTTTTTAATTTTTTGAGACATTTACTATATGCAATTCTATGCTCTCTACGTTGAGAGTACTATCATTCTAGAAGTTGACACTTCCAGGATACAAAAAGAAATCTTAACTGTTTAACTACAAGGAATCATGGCCCAGTCAAATTGACGCAAACCCTTACGTATCACACTATCTATAGCAATGATTGTGACTATGGCACATAATTGGGCAATGTTTTATTAGAACATACCTAATAATAGCACCTAACAACAATAATTACCTTGTAATACAGACTGAGTCCAAAATGAGTAGAGAAAGGAGACTAATATCATGAAGAAATATTTTCAAGGCTATTTATTGATTAAATTA